TCTTGTGCCAAAATAATTATTGTTTTTCGATTTTAAGTTTGTTCTAAATTAATTATCATTTTTTAAGATAAACAAATATTTTTTTTATTTTAACATTATTATTATCTATTTATTTTAATTAATTATCTTATCACAAAAAAGTATCTTTTTATTTTAGCTTTTTCCTAAAGATAATATAGATAAATTTATGAATTGTCCCCAAATTAAAATTTTTTTAAAGTAAAAAAATAATAATTATTTTGTGATAAAAAGAATATTATTTTCAAATTTAAATTCAAAATGAGAAAATCTTTAACTATAAAATTTAATAAGTAAAGTGGTATATGTTAATGAGTTTATTAAACTAGAGGGTATATCAATAATTTTTCATGTCTTATCTCTTCTATATTGTTGTCTTCATATTTTATTTTTCATCTCTATTCAAGATTCATGTGTTGGAAACTTTTATATGAGCTTTTGTTAATTGTATTTGGTTTTCAAAATTGAGTCAAATGGAAAATCGATAAAACCCAATAAAATTGTGTGATTTAAATGGGTCTAGGTTTTATCTCAGTTTTATACTGTGTAATATGAATAGATGTAGAGTCTAGAATGATGGAGATACCCAGAAGATTATTATAAAAGCTTAGGTTTCCCCTCTTATTTAGAAAATCATATCTCTATAAATATGAGAGTTAAGGAGTGGTATGATCAATTAGTTGTTACTATACAGAAGTTGAATACGGAAAAAAAAACTTAAATCCCAATAATAACTATATTTGTTTTGTAGATTCTATCATCAAATCTCAAATTATGATAATTCTTGAAAATCCTTGAAAACTCTTAAGTAATATATTGATTATAAAGATTAAGGTACGTAACTTATTTATTTTATTAGATCTTGATATTTTAAATTCTACATATATTGATCCTTAAAATTTTAACATCATGAGCATCGAAATGGGACCTTATTATAAAAATCATATGACATCTACAATAAAATGAAAATACCCCATCCATGAATCAACGTTTGGAAGTCCAATACTAAGTGCCTTGGTAACTATATCCCTTTGATGGAGAAGTGTTAGGACATAAAATCTTAGGTTCTACACCCCCGGTACTACTAATTCCCCCACCTTCAAAAATTCTCTAAGCTCAAAAAAAAAACAAAAAAAACAAAAAAAACAACGTTTGTAGTCTATTTTCAAAATAAAAAATGATAACTTATTTAAAAAATTGTTGAAACTTAAGTATTTTAATAAAAAAATAAAATAATATATTTTATAAATTGAATTGATTTATCTTATTAAGAACTTGATCAAACTAATCATTGTAGATTAATTATCTACTTAAAAACATATTGTTTTATAATAATCATCTGATTTATTTTTATAATTAACCTATAAATAGGAGTTAGAGAGCCAAATTTGCTCAACTAGAGTATTTCTCCACATTCTTCTACTTTATCACTTTATTTTATCTTTTAAATATTCTTAGATAAAAAAATGTATTTTGAGTTAGGTGAGTTTATGAATAGTGCAAATTTATAAAATGTTATTATAAAACTATAGCTTCATAAGGATGACACATTATGTATATCTTTATTGCATTGGTTAATATACTCTTCGTAAAAGTGTGAATCAACAAAATTAAGTAAGTTTTTTATGTTTATTTAAATAATATTTTTATTGATATTTTCTAATTAATTCATTTATTATTATTTTATTTGATTTTGTAACCAAAACACAATAATAATATGATGTGAAGATAAGAAAGAACGTTCAAGGAACAACAAACATTTCTTTTAATAATCATGAAAACTAAAAAGGGTAGAGGGCATAATCAAAATCATCTCAGATTTCTATTAATAAGGTGGGAATGCTAAGCGCAAGTAATTCAAATGGGGTTGCTGTATACTTTTCTTCTTATTCCCGCAAGCTAAGATTCTATTAGTACAAGTTGTGAGTCTTCTTTGCTTTAATTCGTTATATCCTTATCTACTTGTTTTCGTAGCTAAACTATGTGCCATGCGAACCAATAATAATCTTTTTTTATTATTTTTATTTTTATTTTATTAGTCTTGAATTGTAAAATGAGAGATGATTTTTTTTTCATCTCTTACTCACCTATTTTGTATTTTATACAAACCGAATTCTATATCTTTTATTTCAATTTGAAAGAAATTACAACCATCAATTAAAAACACAACTTTTTAAAAATTAGCTCTACCAAATTTTAAAACGAAATGTGATTTATTTATACATAAGTTTTATATATAATATTTATACAAAATTTTAACTATTTATCTCTCTACTTTCAATTATTAAGATTTATAATGATTTTTTAAGTAAAAATAATAATTATATTTAATAAATGTAAATAAATTTTAATACTTAAAAGTAAAAAGATGAATCGTTGAGAATTTATATAAGTATAATGTATAAAACTTATGTATAAATAAATTTTTACTCTTTTAAAAGTTTCTAATAAAAGATATGATATGATTTTTATGATTTTACTGATCAAACTACAATATTTTAAAAGTTTTTAATAAAAAATATGATATAACACATCTATTTGATCAATTTTTAAAACAATTTTAAATATCATATTTTTTATTAGAGAATTTTAAAATATGATAATTTTAATTGATAAAAAAAATTTATCCTCAAAAAATTTTTAAAAATTACATCTTCAATTTTATACAAAATCTCATGATACTTGTATAAAATATGTTTGATCGTTATCTTCTGCGGACTTAAATTTCTTGAGTCGGCGTCGACAGGATAAGGACTGGGGAAAAAGAACAAGATGCCGCTTAGAATTAAAGTAAGGAATATTTTTTTCTTTTTAAATTTATGGACCAGCAGAAAAGTAAGGAATTAGATTCTCATAAAATGAAAGCAAACATGAAATGGAAAGTTGACAAAATCGCATCTTTCATTTTTCAGATGGAATAAAAATCAAGAGACAACCATATATGTATAAAAAAATCATGGACACACACAAAATAAAAATAAAAACGAAAGAATCAATTGGACGGACAAGAGTAAAGGCATAAAGAAGCTTAAAATATGATTCGACATAAGGTGACAAACAATTTTTGAATCAACTTGCCCACCACTATATTATCTCATACAAAATCTACATTATTTACGCAAGTATATGGATACGCGTTGAAGGAGGAAAGGAAAGAAGTCTATATAAAGGCATGCTCTCTGAATCATAGCAACATAAACCTTTCTCATTTTCCAAAAAACTTACATAGCCAGGCTTGAGTTCCTGAGATAATCGGCATGTCTCGAAGATTAAGGCGTCCCGCCAACACCCTGACTAAGGATCAGTTGAGCGAAATTTTCAAGAAACATAGCGCTGACCAATCAAATGTGAAGCTGGGGAGGGAAGAGCTGAAGGCGGCTTTTGAGCAGCTTGGCGCTCAGTTGCCTACTTACCAAGCTGCTTGTGCCCTCAAATACCTTAACAGCGACAATGATCAATACATCACAGAGGATGGGCTCGGTGCTCTCGTGGATTATGCTTATGCCTATGGTTTCCGCGGATAACAAAACATCTGCATCCCCACCTGCATCGATGATCTCTGCGTGAATCTATTACTTTAATTATTATTCCTAGTATACTATATGTTTTTAATATGAATAAATTACATGTTCTATGTGTGTCTCGTCCTGATGTGAGAACACACATATGCACTAGTCATGTTTACTTGAATTGGATGTTTTATTATGTTTTTTAAATGTATTAGCAGAGACCAGTTATAATAATTTTATAGTATACAAATACAAGTTTATGTTTATAGTATGCACGCTTATCTTCTTCTTTTTTCTTCTTTTTTGTAAAGAGTACATTTTCGAATTAGTTTATTACATTTAAAAAAATTATTTTTCTTAAGTATAGATCCCAAAACAAAATAATAAAACTTAATTAGTAAATTTATTTACATACCAAAAACAAAGTAACATATCTTCTACTCACAGTTAATTCACAATATTCATTTTTAATTAAAATCAAACTTTATAGGATATATACAGCCTCTAATTGCTTTTCTATAGCATCTAAATGATCTTTGTTTCAAGGCATATAAAAGTTTGTTGCAGCCCTACCAATGGATGAGTTCAAGACATTGTTGAAGAAGTTTGACGAGAATATAATTAAGACAGCAAGATCATTAACAAAGAAGAGCTAGCAAACGTAACGCCTAATGATGGTCTCTGCTAGCCTCGAGGGGAAGGAATTAACGGAGTCCAATCTGTTCATGCTGATGGCAATTGACTGTGTGAGACTACCCGGCAGCTACTGCAGAGAAGAACTTAAACATCAGAACCATATATATCTTTTCAGAATGTTAATTCATGCAGCTTTATCCCTCAAGAAATGAGAAACCAAAAATGTTTAGGGGTTAACTTTGAGGTACTTCCTTTCCTCAAAATAATGTCATCATTATTATTTTTATTTTTATTTTGATTAAACAAAACAATTGGTTCAATTTGTGGGGGAAAATGGATGGAAAGAGAGGTTACATGGATTCGAAAACTAGTTAATAAATAAAGAAATATTTTAGAGATTTAATTAGTGAGTTTGAAGGCTTTATTATAATTATTTTAATTTTTTTAATCTTAAATTATATAATAAAATGCAATCTATGTATCACTTTATCTATATCATCTATGTGCCCGTGGGTCCGTCACCGGAGCTCCGGAGCTCCGGAGCTCAGGGGCATGGGTCATAAACCCCCCTAAATTTTTGAGAAAAAATTGTTTTAGTCCCTTGAATTGTATGTTAATAATTTTTATCCATATTTTAATTTTATTTCATACGATTTTAAGTTTCTTTTAATATTTTTTTAATTATTGAAGATTGTTTTTTGTGATTATGAGAGAGAAGAAAATAAAGACAATATAAATATGAGGAAAAAATGAAGATCAATCAAATGAAAAATTATTCATTTATCATCATTTACAAATCATTTGTTCATTGATAACCTCATGTACTTTTCCCATCTTGTTCATTAATAGTTTTCTACTAAATATATGTGCTTAAAGTTTAATCAATAGCATATATATCATCAACCACTTTTAATTTATTGTTAAAAACTAAAACAATTTATTTTAAAAATTTCACCACATAAAATTTCAATAAATGCACAAATGCATTATTTCAATAAAGGTTCCATTTTGCCCTCCATAGAAAATTTTTTCCTGACCCCGCCATTTCCAACGACTGAAATCATATCCATTAGAAGGAAATTTCTCCAATTCATTGACCAAAATAGTCCTGTTGATAGGTGCTTGTTTTCTTTTCTTTTTCTTTTTTGGCCAGACAATATGTATCCAACCTGTTTGCATTCATTTCCACAAATTCAAACACACCAAATCACCAATGTTGGGTATTTGATTTTACACTTTTGGAGGTAATTCTATACATCAAATATTTAACATATATTTTCGGGCGCATACCTATTTTCCCAGAAATTTCCCACAAATGCTAGCAGTTAATCAGAATCATGAAATCACTGTACAGAACTATGAACTGGACTATTCAACTGAAATTGATCCAAGCTTTTCCCTTTTTGTTACAATTTTTTGTTGAAAACTTTTAGAGCCAGAATAACTCACAACATAGTGGATCTTCATCTTCTGCTGACAGCAATGGTGGTGCATTCCAACTGGTAAATTGCCAGTGCCTTTTATGATTGTAAAAAAGGCGTAGAGCCAACCATATTTGGATCTCAAAAGTGCATTTAAAAAGTCTAAACGTTTGAGACTCAATAGCCTACTCACACACCATTCACTGTTATTTAGTACCCAAGCAAGATCATATGTTATATGTCTTGTTTCTGAGAACTCATTTGGAAATTGAATTGAATATTAGCAGCTTCATTTAAGGAATTAAATCTTGAGAAAAACCCAAGAATTCTGTACTTGCAAATCCAATTTGCAGAACTGACCTAAGAACATGCCTGGATATCTCCAAAACAAGCATAGGCAGCAGCCATCTGTTTCTGCATTTGGATGTTCAAGCAAATATCTTGGAGCTAATATCTTCAGAGTTTAATTTCTGGAGGTGGAAGTTTCCAGTAATTCCACGAATTAAAGTCCTCCTGTAACAGATAGGAACAAAGAAAACGAGCTGAATGCCATGGACCACTCAGGCTAACTAATAAACCTTACAACTTATATTCATTACGAGAAGAAAAAAATATCACGAAAGATGCTGTCTAAGAATATAAAAAAGGGTATGATGAGGGAGAAACTGTAAGTATATTTTCATGTAAAAGATCTAGATGCAGAAATAAGAGGGATAGAAGATGTCTGGTAGTAATAAATTTCACCAAATCAGTCTATCGCCTTGCAGACAACTAGTTAGCTACCACGAGTTTCAGTTAAAAACAGGAAGTAGAAGGAAACCTGCTCAGATGAGGGCCTTATTGGAAACATGCCATGAACAAGAGCATGGAGGGAAGTGTATGATTTTGTGTCAACACAACGGTGCACAGCAACCTCACCCTGCATACTTATTACTGTCAGAGGGAAAGTTCAGAGTAAAAGTACAACAATATCTGAGATATATAGGTCACACACCCTTCTTAAACCATGGAGACCTTGTGGATTACCTTTGGATTGATAATGAATATTTTTCCCTTTGGGATTCCAACCTTAAGATAGCTGATTTCATCAGTATCTCTGTTCCCAAAACCAGCATAGAATGGATTGCAGTCAGATGGAAACAATGCCTTAATATCCTGTAAATTGAAAGATAAAAAAAGCATTAAAATTCTCCTCTCTATACAAACAACTAATTATCTACCATCTATCCACAGTAAGAAGCTTCAAGAGGCATGAATAATATAGAAGTAGCCATCAAAACATAGTAAATTCCTTCCAAGCTGGTAAACCATCAGAATACATAATAGTTTGGGAGAGCCAAATTTACAAGAAACATAAATCTCCAGTTTTTTCATGGTCTACGTACCAGTAGAAATATCAGATTGGAGAACCTTATATATTGGAAAAGTAATGATAACTATGTCAAGGTAGAGAACCAACCTCCAAGCATGCAATCTTGAACTCATGAGGAGCTCTTCTAATAACTGAAAAATAATAATATAATAATAAAGAGATCACTTTAGTTGACATCATAATTTAAAGATGAAATTGGTTATTTAACTTGGAAAAAATAAGGAGGAACAGATGGGGGACACAGAAGAATTCAGGATAGAAAATGAGAGCTTTGATGAAAGGAGAGAAGGTTAAATCCAAAGAAATCCATATGCACTATCATATTGTGGCAATCAATGCGATGGAAGGGAGGTATTAGCTTTGTTCAAAATATCTAGACCAAAAACAAAAAAGGGGAAGCTTCGCTTAAGATACATTCTTGAGAACTTGCGATTGGTGATTTGAGATACTCTGCTCATTTTCCACATTTCATCATTTTGATATATCATAGAACTAGAAGACATCAATAAGACATTAATTTCCAGATCTGTTTAACATTTCAAAAAGGAAAAATGAGAAGCAACATGCAATTCAGTATGTATGCATGAACAAAGACAAAAGGCAACCCGGTACACATTTTTTACCTTCTCGAAATAAAGATGGAAGAAGGCCATCAGGAGAAATAACAATTGGCCCATCTGGTAAAGCTTTTCCATTCTACAAATATGAAGATAAGTCTGTTAAAGAACATGACATTTGAACTTCCTTGATTATGATTTTTTGAGTTCATTATCATCAAAGCATTAATTCCATAAAGATCACCTGCTTAAGGTTGATTAGGAATTGTCTAGTGTGATATGCCTGAGATATCGAACGTGCACTTAGAAAAAGCAATTCATAGTCATTTTCCTGCAATATGCAAGAAATTTGGTAAATGAAAAACACATTAATGATGTTGATAGTTGCTAGTCTTTATTATGAAATATCTGAAACCTTTTTGCAGTATAAAATTCCCGAGCAAAGGTACAAAGCATCTCATGGATATGGTGGAGCCTTCAACTAGTTTTTTTTTATTCCAAACACAAAAATATTCTAAGTTGAAAACAAATGAATTATTAGACATGAAACATCATAAGCTGAAAAAAGGGAGACATGACAGATAGATCACACCTACCTTAATAGCTGAAAATAAATGTGCAACACCTGTTTGTGACCAATCCATCCCAACCAAAGGCATGAATTGACCTAGAACATCTGATCTGTGATAAACGAGTTGATATAGGGAGTCAGAAATAAAAAGGTAAGATCCTGACTTCAGAAAATAGGGCATTGGTAAAAAATTCAGATCATAAAGAAACCAACTGCAACAGTTTCAATTAGCAAGGCAAGGTTAGGTTCTGCAAGGCTTGCTGTCTCCCGAACATCATTAGCCAAGAGCTAAACTACCAAAAACAAGCAGAATTAATTTCTAGAAAGATGTACAAAAATTCGAAGTTTTAAAATTTTGATTTGAAGAAGTTCAAAGACAATGTAATGTACAAAAGGATTAACATAGCACAAAAAAAAAGGGGGGGAAAGAAATTGGAGGAAGAGAAGTAGAAGAAAGGATGGCAACTTTCAAGCTCAGATTCCTACCAATAAATGCACACTGTTAAATTTTAACACCACCAGCATTGTGATGGAGATGCGCTATTTTATATTTTAATGGTAGCATTATGCAATGCAGTGTACAGCTAAGTCTAAATCATGCTCATCTTTCTCAGCATGGATGCATGCAACCAAAAACATAATCAAACATTTTCTGCATTAAGGCTATAGCTAATATACCAATTCAGCTATAGTTGATCATGTTCAAGTATATAGTGTTAGTGAGAAACATAAAAGGTCAAACCTCTCCACATTTAGAACCAATGACCAAACCCCTCAGTATAAGGAAGGGCAAAGGAACAACTGGCTACAAAGACTGGAAAAAGTAATAATTGATTTCACTTGGGCACACGAGCAACATGAAATGCAATCAGGTTTTACAGAGTATTATATCCCTGAACAACAGTAAAGTGAAAGAAACAGAGAAAAATATAAAATGAACAACACAAAGGAAAAGTAATTTAAAATTTGGGAAGTACTAAGTTAAAATCTGTTGCAATAGAAATTTGAGAGTATTCTTACTTTGTAATGGTTCCATCAACATCTGAGATTACAATACGAGTGTTCCATTTCCACAAAAAAATTCGGGCTTGTACCTGTTTATTATGAAATTTACAGTAAGCCCTAAGCAGATAAAGAGAAAGAGTGCTAAACATTAAAGTATAACAAATGATGAAGGAAAATAGAAAATATTCAGAATGAAAACCAATATTAAAGAAAAACCACAATAAAACATAACCTGCTGCTTCCCTAACATTGCAGTGGAAAATGTAAAGGTTACGGCATTTCTCCCTTCCTTCAAATTCAAGGATGCCAGCTGTTCAGAGGTTGGGGTATTAACCTTGGCCATCTTCTTCACCTTCTTTGGTATAAGTGCATCCCTATCATCATCAGCACTCTTGGCAGCTGAAATTCTGGCACCATCCTTAGCTAGCTGCTTGCCCTGACCATTTTCTTCACCTTGTAGGCAGCCAACAGTAGCCTCTGCAGCATTCTCAGCAGCCAAAACTTTGACAACCCCCTGAGCTAGCTGCTTGTTGGATCTTGATCCTTTGGAAGAGAAAGGCCAAAGCTTCCAGCTTCTATTGCAGGAATCAATGGATTTTGATTGATTTTCTTCAAGAGATTTCTCCACAATTATTGCGCCTTTCAGTTCAAATAATCTTTCACTTCCAGATGCAACCATCTCTAAAAGAATAGGGTTTGCTGCATCCCATGGGAAGTACTGGCCAGAAATTCTGACAACAAGCTTATCATTCTTCACAACTGCAGGACCTAGAGAACTAAATTTATGCACATCAAGTTTCTCAGAATCAAATGCTTGTGCTGCAGCAGCAGCCCCCATTCCTTCTTTTAACGAGTGTTTGCAAAGAGATATCTCTGTATAAAGAACAAAAGCGTGAGACTTTCAACAGCTTTCAAATTAAAGAGCATTTGTATGCCAAAAACAAATGAAATACTGCTTCCTCCTTTTTATTGCAATTATATTGGGATGCTTCACATCTCCCCCACCCCCACCCCCACTCACCCGAGAAAATCCAGTTGGCTTTAAAATTGAGATGACAGTGAATGAGTGAGTGCTCATCCACCCAACATATAAATTATTTTGATTGTTGAGTGATGCAATTTTTACTTCTTGCAAAATATGAGAGATACCGCATACACCCTAGAAACAGAATTCAATATATATAAAATCCAGTTTCATTTCAGAGCATTCAAAGAGTGTGAAAGCAGTGCAAATTTTTGAAATGTAAATACTACATGAGTGCAAAACCAAATTCTCTTACCAACTGTAGGGTTTTTAAGAGCCTCTTCCAGCACCATTGAAGCCTCAGCATCCTCAGGATTCAATTTATCCTCTGATAACTGGAATTCTTTAACTGCAACTGCTTGTCTACAGCTTGAATCATTTTTTCTAAGTGGTGCCAACTCCAGGGATTCAGGATTTGAGCCCAAAGAATGGCTTAGAAGACAATTATTGTGTGTGTGTGACTTGTCATCAGGAGACCATATATTAGGCAACAATCCTGACTGCCAACCAGCATCCTCACCACTCATACTATGACTTCTTTTGACATTAATAGGAGCAGATGTCATCCCTGACTTCTCTAACGAGTTTTCAAGATTATTTGGTGGAGTCTCTGGATTATTCATATCCAATAAACCATTTACTTCTTTGCCATTTGTACAAATGGACTGATGCTCTTCATTTCCACAAAGCTGCTCTTTAATCTTGAATTCATCAGAGCCACTGAAAAGAAATTGTTCTTCTTCCAAAGGCTTTGATGGTGGAAGATTCTTTGTGGTGTAACTGTGAGCACAAATTTTTTGAGTATCACAGATAGACTCCAGAGAAGGATAGAGAACATTCTCAATGCTTTCTTGAACTTGACTATCTGAATGACCAGCATTGGAACAGGAGGAAGTGCAACATGTTTCCACTTCTTTGACTGAACCAAGCATATGCCCAACATAAAATGTTTGAGTATAGGACTCTGGTATTTTTAATGTCTCTTTAACATCCAACTCCATTTCCTCAGCTAGTTTGACAAACATATCCTGACAATTAAATAACACACTCAGCAAGATTAAACTTTTAGAAGAACAAGCAATTTGTTTAATTTTATTCTTAGTTTATGTTGCAGCAGTTCTCTCACATTCAGAGATTCATAAATTATAAAACATGCCACAGTGACCTCTATGACTAGAAAACATTTAACCTAAATACCCTTTGAAAACTAATAGAGAGCATTTCTGATTAAAGTTTTACCTCTACCAAGAGCCCAGTTGTCCTACACACAGTTTCAGCATGAATGTGCACTTGCTCATGCCCTCCAGTAGAGAGGCACAGTGTTTCCTGAAGTTGTTCATTGGGAACATTTAATTCTGAGCTCTGTGATGTTTCACAGTAAGCAAAAGGCTGAGCTATGTCTGGAATTCTCTCCTCAACGGCAATGCCACAGCCTTGTAAAACATCCCTCTTACTATTAATCTCTTCTTTGTCAAACTGCACGTCAGGACAAGCTTTGAGCTTATAATGAATTTGCATATCAGACTCCCCCATCCCCATGTCAACAGCCTTTTCATTCTCATTATGATTAGAACTCTGAACATCATTCTCATCGATCATTCCTGATGTTTCAGATATTACTTCACATTTTTCTTTTAAAAAACTTTCACCTGATGAGTTAGTTACAACAACTTGCTCCATAGAGCTTACACAGGACATTCGAATACCAGCTTTGTCAATGGGGTACCCAATGTTCTCAATGCCAGTCTGAAATCTGTTGTCTTTTTGATTATTGCAGAAATCAGTTTCCACTTGCAACACAGGATTATCAATACAATGTTCCAGTTTATCATTATACAGAGAAGTGTCCAACTTGATCTTTTCATCACGAATCTGCATATCTTTACCACCCTTATTGTCTAATACTTCACAAACTGAGAGCTTGGAAGCTTTATCTTTCTTGGACCTTCTAGAGACCAGACTGGTAGACCACTTTACCTCCAAAAGGTCAGCTGCAATCTCAGCACACTCCAACGAATTTGACCTCTCTACTCCAGGACTCCTTGTTCCCCCCTTTGCACTGTCCTCCTTCATAGACGTCCGTCCAAAAACAAGCCCCAAAATCCGTCTCCGGCTGGTAGTATTACTGGAGACAACCTTCCCATCTTTTATATCAAACCGATCATCAGAACTCAACTCACCAGCATCATAGTTGCAGCTTTTAGACTTCAATCGTTTCCTATTACTATCAGACTGCACGTCAACCTCATCACCAGAGGAAGATGGATATAACACAGAATCCCCATCTTCAACATCTACCTCTCTCAGAAAATGAGCTCCTCCTTTACGATCAAGATACATGTGGAAATTTGCTTCTACATCATTTACACATACGTTAACCACCTTCTCCTTTGACTTCAAAACCCCTTGAAATTTCCCAAACCGGACATACCAAGGCGATGATTTGAAACTCCCATCAGGCTGTTCCACAACAATGATATCTACAGCACCACCAAACGGGTGAAAGGGACCAGAGACTGTGAACACGCCACGGGAAATATAGCTGCCTAGCCTCCCCACAGTGTACATGGCTCTGACTCGGGATCTCCCAGAACACCACCAGATCACAAACACTTAAAGATCAACCATAATTAAGCAAGGAGCATGAATGATCTCTCTCCAAAACTATAAAGATCTTCAATTGCTCCAAAAGTAGAAAACTTTCTCTATATTCAAGCTTCCCAGTCTGTTAAGCCCCAAGACACAAAATCTTAAAAAAATTAACACATAAATTCCAGAACCCAATTAATCAAAAAATGAGCCAAAGCTATGCTTTTCAGCTTAAATCAATAAGGGCAGCAAATTAGAAACAAACCCCATCCAAACAAAATAACAAAAAAAAAAAAAATCCAAAAATACTCAATACCTCAAAGTGAGAAACAAACAAGAGAAGTATAAATCCAAGGCCAAAAAACACCAGATGGGTGCGTTTTCGAGTTTATCTTTCACTTGTGAGTTCGACGCAATAGGAAAGGGTTTGTGTATGACCAACCAAACCCAAATTAAAAATCAACCGCAAAAATGAAAAACAGTTGAGGAGAATCAAGGCATATTCGCATTTAATAATTGGAAAGTGTCAAGATCACCAGATAGACAACAAACGTTCACTTAATTTTTTTGACGTTTACATCCAAAAAAGAGAAAAAATAAACACCCATGAGAAAATGATAGAAAATTTACGATTTTGGATCAAGGGATTTACTCATTTACAGAGAAAGGTCGAATTTTTCATGAAATAATGATGAAACTAACCTGCAAAAAGTGAAAGCCCCAGACGTCGGGAGAGAACCGGCCAACCGAGACCAACAGTTTCGTGATCCCTATTCCAGGTGGGATGACACGTCAGCAGTTAAGTCGAGATAGGCGTAGGTCCGATGTCATGATTTTCCCCCCTACAGAGGGAGAGAAGATCTCTGGTGTGCTATTATGGCGGTTGGCAGTTGCGACCGCCGACTCTGGTCGGAGCCTGAGTTGTCAGGTCGGATCCTATAGTCAGTAGTAGGCCAACATTTCAGTAGTAGTAGTCCTAGTATCCTTTTTATTTTAAAATTGTAGATTCAAATTTCAATGGCAGACATTGATTTCTTCGAAGATAAGATTTGGCGGGTTTCCTGTTCAAAATGTTCCATTCCTTCTGTTCGTCCAAGGATTTCGAGATGATTAAGGAGAGCCGCGGCAGCATGAATTACAGGCACAGCATGCTAAAATATACATGTTATCTTAGTTCTGTGTTAAAGAGTTGAGAAGAAAATCATATCCGTTACATTTGTTTAGAATGCTACTATTTTTTTATCAACAATTTAAACAATTAAGTAGTTAAGCTTTTTATTAAAAATAAAAAATTATAAATTCAAACGCATACAATAGAATGAAAAATGATCGTTTTTTTAACCGACAAAGAAAAAAAAAAAAATTGCTACCATTTTTCATTTAGAAGCTACTGTTCAAAAATGCACATTTTTTATTTAATAATAAAAAAGGATTATTCAATATAAAATTTTTATATTTTCTATTCAAACTTTGTGTATTAAATAGTAAGATAACCTCAATTAAAAATGTATAATTTAAAAAGATTAGTGTGTATCAACTTAAAAACAAAATTAGAATACCAACTTATAGTTAAAAATTAAAATTTTAATTTAAAGTCTAAAATTTTAATTAATTTTTAAATTTAAATATTAATCTTTAATAAGATAAATTTTTTAATTTTAAATTAAATTTTAATTAAATAAAATTACATTATTTAAGCTTAAAATTTTAATTTTTTTAAAGTTGAGATTAATATATATATTTTTAATTTAAATAACTTAAATTATATAATTTTCTTATTTTATATTAAAAGATTTGTTCTTCTTTAATAGATATAAGATATGTATTCGAGTTGCTGATCATTTTTCCACATCATTTTATGTCTAGAAAGAAACAAAAAATTCGTCGAAGGAAGAATTACGCTACTGAACAAAAAATAAAGATCTCTTACTTATTACGGTATATGTTCAAAATTTTAAATTTTCAAAATTTTTTTCTTGTTGTTTTTTTTGGCAGCTAGAGCCTGGTCGGGCCGGTCCTGGGCCAATCCACACAGGCCCAGTCTGGCCTGGCTAGTTGTACTTGTTCCGAAGTTTTTTTCCAATCCATTTGCTGCAAATGGAAACAAGATTACAGAGGAAATGAACATGAGCTCACCATGGGCAGGTAGTGGTAGCTATATAACCATTAATCAATCAATTACAGAGGAAAAGTCCAGATTTTTTTACTCAATTTAGTTTGTCATCCACACCAATGGATTTCTTGCAATGAGCAATGGCAGCTTGAATTGCAGCCTGCAGTTCCTCCATGGTGCTGTCACTGACAGAGGAAGAAAGGGGCGCCGTTGCAACAAGTAGGCCGTTGTTCGTTGGAGACATCCTCATTGACGCCGATGCAGAGTACTCTCCTCTTCTTCCTCTCAACTTATGCTTTTTCCTCAAATTACCTGAAAATGAATACTGTTGTCGCCGGAGATGGAGGTCCTCTCCCCTTCCCCTGAAGAACAACAGAGTCCTCATGTACCGCTTCAACGCATGGCTAACATCGAATCCCATCTTCTTCTTCGTCTGCTTCTCTTTATCCTCCCCAACTTCACGACCCTTTTGCCATCCTCCAAACAAAAATAAAGAGAAAGATTTGTGTTTCTTTCTTCCCTTTGTTTCATTGTCGGGGATGCTGGTTTTGATGTCCCCATTGCTATTGCTTTTATCTTGTTTCTGTTCGTCTATTAAATCCTTTATGGGTAAGGAGAAGCTGTCCAAGGAATTGGTGGAGGATCGAGGAGAAACAGGGAGGTGGGAAAGGAGGTGCAGAGGAAGCAAGTGGCCGTGGAAGAAAATGTCATCTGCCGGTGATAAATCAATTGCTATTGACGGTGGGTGTGGGGTTTTATCTGCAGTGGAAGAATGGAGAGAGATTGCGAAGGAGAATTCATGGGAAGGAGAAGAAGATGCTGAAGATTGAGAAGGATAGGAATTTAATTTGGTTTCTTCATGCTTCTCCTCTTCAATCCTTAGCTGCTGATGGTGAAGGGTGTCCATATTGAACAGCTAGGAAATGGTTCAGCTCACGAGAGAAGATGGCAGTCTCAGTTTCTTCCGTAGGAAGAAATAATAGGGATAAGGAGATTGGAGGAGACAAAGAAGTTGGCAATTCAAATGGTGGTTGGGGTTAACATGTCTTTGGTGTTGTTCCTTGAATATTCTTCTCCATGTCCATGTTATGTCATTATACCTCCTTCGTAAAATTAAATAAAATAATAATTAGTAAATTTATCAAAAAAATGTTAATAAAAAAATATCGTTGAGATGTGTGTGAAAAAAAATTTATTTACCTTAAAGCGATTTACGCCTCTATGAAGAGTAAATCAATCGATGCAGTAGTGATATATTTAGTATGTTATCTCTAAGATGCTATAGTTTTATATTAACACTTTATGAATCTATAATATCCATAGAGTCACATAACTCAAAATACCATTCTTTACCCAAAAATATGTTGAAGATAAAGTAAAGTAAAGAAAATAAGAGAATGTGGACACATTTTTTTTTAGCAAAAGATATGTTCTATTTATTAAACTTATAATTTTATAACTCTCATTCGTCGGTTAATGATAAAAGTAAATTAGATAATTATTATCAAATAATATACTCTTAAGTAGAATAATTAACTTACAATTGTTAGTTTGACCAAATTTTTAATAGTACAATAAATTTAATTTATAAAAAAATATTATTTTATTTTTTATTAAAATATTTAAATTCCAAAATTAGGTTCAAGAAAAGGACACAAATTTCCTCTTTTAGCATTATTCATTCTTTCTTCAAAGAGCGGTGGGAAAGGCACTCACTAGGAGATGAGATGAAGATGATGTATTTAGCAGTGAGTGCGAGAGGATTGGTGGGTTCTAGTCAAATCCAACAGCTAGTGCAGAAACTGCTGAGTAGAGGAAAATATGATCACAAAGATACAAATTCGGGCGCAGCAAAACCCCATCTTGCTTGGGTTGGGAACGTGTCTCTGTACCTGAGTTGTTCACACCTTACATAGAGATTCATGAACAGGAATCTTGAATTATTAACTAGCATCAATAATATATTTAGCGATTGCTGTTTTGTAGTTGACATTGCAAAAATTATATGTTTTATACATATTGAGAAAAAAGAAGACTATCTCAATATTGTAGAATCTACACCTCTTGTACCAAAAAAATAGAGCTTACACCTCTTTAATGATTGTAAAATATGCAATCTATAAGTTGAGAGCTACATATAGGTTTCATGACATGAATGTTTATGCCTCTCATTTTTACCTGTTTCCTGTTTTGGCAGGTAAGTTAATAAGAGGAAGCAAGTTAGTGACAATATTAATTGCTACAAAACAGGAAAAAATGAAAAATTGAAGTAAGATAGTGGTTAAAGTTTGAGGCATCTCCCTAATTTGGTTCAACTAATTTGAAAACTATGGATAACTCTTTTCTTTACTTTTTCTTACTTACCTTCAGGATTGTTGGATACGGACAAGGTTTTCTCTCCTTGAATGGTCCTGATTGGGAAACTATAGTCATCATTTATTTTTCTTGACTTGGACAATTAGGGTATTTTTGTATTTAATTTTGTATATCTTTAAATTAATCCCTCTCCTAATAATAATATTAAAGACACATCTCGTGTATTTAAATAAATTAATTTCTTTAAAATAATGACCTCAAAACTTAAATTTTTAACCTAATTTACAAAACAATACATATTTACTTGTAATGTAAATCTAACCCTTAAAGTAATCATTATTATTAGTTGGATTAATTGTCAACATATCTTGAGTTAAACGGAACTTTGAAAATTGTTCTTAAAGATACAAAGATTTTTGGCGGTGCATTGCATAGACAAATCATAAATGCAGAAGATTCAGTGTTTCGGGGAAAGAAGAAAGATGACCCCACCAAGAAGACAACAATGGTGGTATCAACATAGTTCATTCATCAGTCAACTTAATAATATATAAAGAGGAAAAAGAGCAAGTCGGTGAAGGAAGCTTCAACAGTCGGATTGAGATCGGACGGTGTAGGAAGTGGGATGGTCGTAAACGAGCGTGGGCAATGGGAAAGATGGAGCTGGTAGTGGACCCACCGCACGCACTTGAATGAAGTGGTCCTTGAGGAACCCTGTTCATTTAGCTATGGTTAACAACATCTCAATCATTGAAGCAGAACTTCACCAAGCGACCTGGTAGTCGCGTGTTTCATTAAGGATTGAATCTTAATTATTAACAATTAATAAAATTAATTTTTAATCATTATCTTTATTAAAAAAAAAAAATCATTGAAACATTATTTTAGTGGACTGCCTCTTCACCTCTTAAACGATGCAGAATCTTATTCTACTGCTCTAAACATAACAGGAAGACGAGGAAAGAAAAAATGATATAAATAAAATATTTCTCATTTAATTTCAAAGTTATATGAAGTTCCTCTGCGTGGGGATACTTCCTACAATCAGTCAAATTCTCGTCCGAAGACCAAAAAAAACCAGTCAAAACAGAAAGCACACATAAGAATACAACTAAAAGTTTCTGCTTTCTTTCATTTTCACTCCCTCTGCACATTCCCAGATTTTATCAAACAAAGGGAACAACCGAGTTACATAAAACCACCCAGCAATTTGCTTTAATCCATTCATGATAAACTGCTTATGTACTTACTATGAAATGGTGCAAATTTACATAGATTACCTAGACGAGGGGTAGGGGTGATTGTAGGTGAATCAAAATATTGATAAAGCATCAAATATACAGTGTATCACAGAGCTAGGTGACCTTATATTAACTTTTCATTTATTTAATATTTCCCTAAATATATTATTCTTGGATGTTTGATTTTTCTGAGTTAAATTTTTGTTCTCAATATGAAACAGCTAAGGGAAGAAGGTGATGGATACGCTTCCATCTCAAAGACCTCAGAGGGACATCTTCCAAGAAGATATTGGGATGTCCCAGACAGCGAGCTCACATGAAACTTGACCGGAGTCAACATTCTCCAGCCAAGCCATGTCTAATTGTCCGAACAGCAAAACTGGTCCCAATTCATTAACACCACTGCTGAGGTCAAGGGGACTACCCTTGAACATGAATAGATCAAGCAAAGCAAACTAAAGGTACTGTGCTAAAAGATCAAATATAACGATTATGGAAGGGAGTTTGTAAGTAAATAGAAGTGCATTTATGGGGTGAGGGTAAAATCAGACAGGATTTTTGCCAGTGAATTTAACTAGACAAACGTCAAAGTAAGAAATGATTGATCAGCAAAGAATGCAAATATGTTTCTTTGAGAAAACAAGAAAAAAATGCAAACGTTTGTCAAAAGGATAAAATCAACGCAACAAATTCACTCAATAATTGTATGGAGCAAGTTTTCCATTTTTTTTTTTTTTTCTGACGAATCTGTACGACTACTAACCAAACTCCCTATTTCACGACAGCATACAACGAACCTTACTATTGTTTACTGTCAGAATTAAGAAATTAGAGCAAGTGGTGTACAATTTGGAAGAATCTAGACAGAATGAAATACCTCTGAGGCATGCTATTATGCATTGGCCAGTCTATCAAAGCGTTGATCAAATATACTCTCATTTTCACATTTTACATGGAGCAAGGACATTTTCCTCTTGCTCCTGAAGCCAGAAAACATAAATCTAGAATAGATTTCAACTCGGCTCTTCCAACTTCAAGTACAGAATCATTAGTGAGAGATCCAAGAGGATTTTGAGTGGTAAAACGGATCAAAATTCTAAACCCTCCACAAAGATATTGAAGGGAATTAATAACTTGAGAAAGCCACATCTTCTGATTTATGACTGCCTCTAAAACAATTGTTAAGTCCCAGAGAATGCAACTGAAATGGAGGAGGTCTAGCTAGTCACTATCACTACTGCATCTGTCTGAAAACAGCAAAACAAAACTATTAACACTCACAACACTCATGTGTGTGCACAGAGAGAGAGAGAGAGAGAGAAATGTTCTATACCTCCTGATGATCTTTTACCTTCCATGGCCTCTTTCTTCTCTTGGCAACTTGCACAAAGAAAAGGGCCATCCCAGGGACGCACTTTCGCACAATTAGATGAGCCAGCGTGTATTGAAATACCCTCTCCAGGTTTGATCTCCACTTGACAGACTGCACACATAAACAGCTTATACATGTTGCACAAAGGGTATTTTGTATCTAACCTGCATCCAACCAAAAGATTCCCTCCATTATTAGACTACAAATTATCTTGTTTAGTCCTTCAAAGCAAAGCAACAACTTCCAATTCCGAGTTACAGCTACTGAGAATCCTCACAAGCACAAACCTGTCTGAAAGCCTAGCAGACCCCTCCTCAAATAATTCTTCCACTACATCTGGTTCCATATATTCTTTGTCAACTTGAGATGATGGTTCAGAAGACTTCTTGCGAAACATAGACTTCAAAATTCTTTTTCCTGCCTTCTTTGGTGGTGGCAGAGGAGCAGCTGGCTTCTCCTGTGGCAATATATCAACAACTATGCATGTTGTATCATCTCGTAGTCCCTTGGCCTTTAAAGCTTCCTGCTCATGGAACATGAAAAGTAAGAAAAGGTTTAGAAGCTTAGCTGCTATTGATAGTTGCAGAACTGTGAAATGCCATAAATAGTGCCAGTGCCCAACTGTAGTGTCCAAACATGGTACAGATGAGGGGTTAAAAGGTGCAGCTGCAGCAGTGACCCAAGAGAAAACCTAAAGGAACAACCAATTAAACAAGTACTAGATATAACCTACTTTAACAATTTGTCCAGCTGCAGCATCTGGTGCCAATCCACGACAACAATCAAGCACCATTTCTGCAGTTAAAGCATCCCAAACACCATCACTAGAGATTATGAGCCTACCTCCAGCTGTAGACAACTGCAAAACCAATGATGTAAAATTTAATTACCAATAAGTACAATAATCAATAAGGAAATTTTTTGCAAGGAAGCAAGTCAACTGATAATTGATGAGACAACCTCTTAAAGGAAACTCATTGTGAGGATAAGGGAAGGAAAAATTCAAAAGCATGACCCTTTAAACAGAGCTATAGAATATAGATAATGTGAAATTAATGGGCTCTCACACATGCCCTAGTCATGAGACATCTAATTAGAATAGATGACATAGCTATACCTAAATCATTCATACCCATCAGTTTGATTGTGTTCCTTTTAAGGCATCAAAACTAATCATATGGAGGAAATTCATGAAAACCAATCCTAAGCCCAAGATTTGAATCAAAGAAATCAAACCTTCACTTGCTTTACATAAGGAACAGGAACAATGAACTCGCCAACATCCATATCTCCAATTGATCGTGAAAGACACAAGCCTCCTGGCCAACATCTCAAAGGACCAATCTACAAAATAACTTTACAATTAGATCACAAGCAATGATCTGTTGAAAGAATCAAATACAGTTTTCCTTGGGTTCTAAGGTTGAAATTTCTACAGAGAACTGATTCATCATCATCAACAGGCTCAAGGATTTTAAGGCTTTTAAGTGTACCATTGGAAAGGAATAAGCTAAGGAAAGAGAAATTATTAAGAAGGCACTCATAAACAACAAAAAAACATCATTTTAAATGAAGAAAAAGTACCTCTGCACCCGCACCAGTGTTTAGTCGACCAACCTCACCCCCACTTGCCGTAACACGGTTTCTCCTAGTAAATGAAAAAAGAATATAAGGCCTCATATTCAGAAGAAAAGTGTAATGATTCAGCTAATACTTTTGCATCTAACTTACTCTTCCTCATTGCATTCAAGCCTATGATCAGCTGACAAGTAATAGATTCCACCTTCAGCAGATTCAAGTATGCAACGGGAATCACCAACTGATGCAACAGTTACTGTCCATCCTTCTATTATGACAAAGGTCACAGTCGTTCCTGATGCTCGTGCTGGAAAAATAACCATAACCACTTCTTAATATCATGGTATAGAATATTTCTGATTAATGGGAAGAAGGAAGTGATATATAGCAAAGGAAAATTTTGCTAGAGAAAATGTCCAACATGATGACTGTCAACAGAGCTCAAAATCACTCTTGAAAAAGTAGTTGCATCCAATTCTTATATCAAGATTAACAACCAAGTTCATCTTTTTCACAATGGAAAGTAGACAATAAAATATATAATACTTTCCCTAAAAGAGGTTAAATGTACCTTGCAAGGACATGATTTTGGAGTTGGGAATATATAACAGTTTCTTGAGTGAAGTAGGGTGCATTCTTATTTTATTTCTACTTCCACATCCTTACAAGAATGGCTACTGCCGTAAATATGAATACAATGGAGAATGCATCAAGAACAATATCTACTCCAGAACTAAGTTTAAAATTTCAATAAAAATCAAAATTTACAACTAACAAATACTCCTGAATTCTGCAAGAGCTTATCATGTAGCGCAGGTGATAAGAAATTTAAGAAATCCATACCATTCTCTTGAAAATCTTTATCTGTTTTAACAAAGCCAGCAACCAAAGCTCTTGGCAATGCAGAAATCCATTCATCTCGGTTAAGGTCCGAGGGAATAGCATTTAAGATATTATTTAAGAGATTCTCCTTGGTGTAAATTGCAGCTCCAGACCCATTGTGTCCATCAAAAATCTGAAAAATAAGGTTAAGTTAGGATTAGGGAACCTACAAAACAACAAGTAAAAGAAATGAAGGAAATCAAGGGGTCAACAATGGGAAAAAAATGCCACTTCCGGTGAATTCTGGGAAGAAAGAAAAAGTCAAGGAAGAAAAAGTTATAGGAAGTCACATTAAGAATAGCTAGAGAATAAATGAAAAGCTCCTATAGTTGTACTATTTTATGAAATATCAGGGAGAAGTAAATAGCCAAATTCTGTACTAAAATTTTGAAAACATTAAAACATTTTTTGCCTTGAAAATGTTAAAGCTAAAACAATTTATCTAAAACAAAAGCGTAATCTGCTGATGAACTAGACTTTAGGAATCTCACCCCATAGCATCTTAGCTAATTAATCATATACCAAAACTAGGTAATTTTCATGGTCTAGAATATTGCAGGAGCCCTAATACGGTCAAAAGTATAGACTTCTATTAAGTCAACGAAGCCAAAAACACATACCCCAAAAACAGAAAATGTGGTGATACCATCTCCCATTGCCCTCTGGCATTCGGTTTTCAGCAGCGTGTAATCCTCGCCTTTCTTGCTCTGGTTGGCTTGTCCGTGTACAATATCCGGATTCTCAGCCTTCTCATTCGCTAATTCTCGCTGCAGAAGCACCGAAAGTGGCACAGTTTGACGTTCGCCCCTAGATGACATTGTTCCAACTCCTAACAACAATCGCAACCTCCTTCGAAAACAGTGCTTCTAATTCTCCAAGTATTAAACAAAAACAATCCTGAAATAGCCATTGCAACAGATTTCACTGAATCAAACCTCATCATATAATCATCAATTCAACTAAAACGATCAGATATTT